CAGTTCCTGAAGGGGGCCTACAGGAAATCTGAGGAAAGACTTTTCACAAGGGCAGGTAGTGATAGAACGAGGGGTAAAGGTTTTAAACTGGAAGAGAGTAGATTTAGACTAGATATTAGGAAGAAATTCTTCACTGTGAGGGTGGTGAGACACTGGCACAGGTTGTCCAGAGAAGTTGTGGATGCCCCCTGGAAGTGTTCAAGGCCAGGTTGGATGGGGCTTTGAGCAACCTGGTCTGGTGGGAGGTGTCCCTGCCCATGGCAGGGGAGTTCGACTGTATGATTCTTAAGGTCCCTTTCAATCCAAACTGTTCTGTGATTCTGTGATTCTATGATCCCTGAGTTTCAGCTTTCTAAGTGTACTTGGAAACTGAGTAAAACATAGCTCTGAGCTATGCATGAACACCTCTTTTTTTCCAAAAACAATCAGTCAATAAAAACTGCTGGAAGACAAAAGAGAGTAACAGCAAAGGAATCAGGGTATAATTGAACCTGCAGACAAAGAAGTTTTCTTGTACGCCTATGTCCTTTTTTGACATTATGCAATTTTTATTTGTTTCATTTTATATACTAAATTCATTGGTTATATCACATTGCCAGCAGTGGAATAAAGTGTTAAAGACAGGAAACCAAAATCCAATGAAAGATTAAAAACTGTCATTAAGAAAGACATGTGTTTTCCCTTCAAACTTTTAACAGGGAGTTATAAGCAGTGATTTTGTTGTTTGTTGTGATTTTTTAAGACAAACAAATACAGGCCTCATTCAGAAACTAACACAGTGTGTAAATCATTGCAAATTGTAACATGCAATGAATGCAGCTGTTCACTATGCACTCTGGAGATTACAGTGGCTAAAGCATGGTGAGCAAAGTTTTTGTTTCCTTCCTTAAAATTGATTTAAAGATTACACATTAATCTCAAAAGAGATTATGAGTATCTCAAAGAGTCAATGAATATCTTAAAACTGCCAGTTTTATCTAATTGTACAAAGGCCAGTTGATCAGCAAGTGTATAAAATGCCAATCCATGAAGGTGAGAAGCACAGCTGGGACAGCCAGCAAACCAACAACAGACAGGAACTAAGCCCTGTGTATGCTAAGAAAGATGCTGAAGTGTGTTTTCACCTTCATTCGTCTTTTTCTGCTCTTATTATTTCTGCCCTTGTGGCCAAGAAGGCCAATGGCATCCTGGGGTGTATCAGGAGGGGGGTGGTGAGTAGGTCGAGAGAGGTTCTCCTCCCCCTCTACTCTGCCCTGGTGAGACTGCATCTGGAATATTGTGTCCAGTTCTGGGCCCCTCAGTTCAAGAAGGACAGGGAACTGCTGGAGAGAGTCCAGCGTAGGGCTCCAAAGATGATTAAGGGAGTGGAGCATCTCCCTTATGCAGAAAGGCTGAGGGAGCTGGGTCTCTTTAGTTTGCAGAAGAGGAGACTGAGGGGAGACCTCATTCATGTTTAGAAATATATAAAGGGTGAGTGTCACAAGGATGGAGCCAGGCTCTTCTCGGTGACAAACAAAGATAGGACAAGAGGTAATGGGCACAAGCTGGAACACAGGAGGTTCCACTTAAATTTGAGAAGAAACTTCTTCTCAGTGAGGGTGACAGAGCACTGGACCAGGCTGCCCAGAGAGGTTGTGGAGTCTCCTTCTCTGGAGACATTCAAAACCCGCCTGGACGCCTTCCTGTGTAACCTCATCTAGGTGTTCCTGCTCCGGCAGGGGGATTGGACTAGATGATCTTTTGAGGTCCCTTCCAAGCCCTAACATTCTGTGATTCTGTGATATTAGGTTTCTCCATCATTTGTCTGGGAGTCCTTTGCATTTCCACAAGTTCCTCCACATGCAGGTGTGGAAATAATGAGGTGGTGTTTTACTGCCTGTTAGCTTTGGGGTTCTTTCTCCTTGTGACTGGCATTTTCTGGAGCACTGTCCATGAAGTCCAGAAATACAGGGGCCTCACCAGCATCTTCATTCAAAATCCGAGCCACAGAGAGCTACATATCAGCACCATAGACAGGTATGTGTTGCGGTACTGCTGCTGCTGAACTGGGAAGGAGGGATGCTGTTTTGTAAACATACTGCGAGAAGAAAGAAGCAATACAAGGTTTTTACAAAATAAGAAAATATGTAGCCATTTGATGATGTTTCTGTGGAGTGAACTGTATAATGAAATTGAATTTGCTAGAGCAAGCAGCAATGTGCAAACAGCAGTTTGTGCAAACAGTACATAAGGTAAGGTATATTAAAGGAAATGTAGCAGGCCGCACAGAATGGTCCAAAGCTGTGCATGGAGGGAGCAGGTGCAGCTACATCAGCTTCATAGAACTCCTGCAGGAGCATCATTAGCTCCATTTCAACAGGCAATTCCAGATGTGGTGCTGTGGGATATGTGCTCATGTTACTTATTACCAATGAGATACGCAGAGAACTTAAGCTCCCTCTACAGTCACTGCTAAAGTTTTCTTGTATAATTGTCACCATTGTTTCTGAGCAAAGTCTGATGGTTTGAGAGAGTTTCTTGAACTGATTGGCACTAGGCCTGGCAAAAGTCTTTAGCAGAGTCACTGGATACAAATTATTTTTCCCAGACTGTCGTGGAAACCACACGAGAAACACTGACTACAAAAAAAAAAGAACTACATAAACAACATTCAGCAAATTTTGGTTAGATAAGCAGAAACATGCAAAATGTATTTTAAAACTATGGAAAACAGTGATCATTGCAATAATAAATAATTCACTAATTTAACGTGCTTCGGACAATGATCCCTCTCTTCTTCCAAATCCAACTTTTCATGAGCACTTGTTGAAATACTCACAAGCATGAAATTTTGTATGGCATGGGTTGAAACTCCCATGGGCAAGGCTTGTCTTTTTAGAATGCTGTGTTTTAATAAAACATTGTGCAGAAAGACACAGGTAATGATCCCAGTTATGCCAGCTGTTTTATAGTAATAAATTCCATTGATCTAAATCTACTTAGGTTTCCATTTACAGTTTAAGACTCATCTAAACTTTGGAAAAATAACAGACAAAGCATCTAACCAAGCTCTCGAAGTTAAATCACATTTCTTCATGATGTGTTTCTTTTTGACTTGCTTTTTTTCAGGCCTGACTTCTATCCCCCCTCCTATGAAGACAGCATAGATCCTGAAAAACAGACCTCCCCACTGCCAGTTGCCTCCATGCTAAAACAGCAAGAAGCCATCAATATCCCTCCACCTCTGTATAATGAAAGCAGTGCAGAGTTCATCAGTGAAACTAATGAGCAGGAACAGCTGCCACCATATGAATTATCTGTGCAGCAGCTACTGCAGCAGCAAACAGCTGACCAAGACTTAAACCCCGGAGGGGAGTCAAATTCTCTTCCATTCACACAAGAAAACAGCTACCAACAGGAGAAAGAATGCCAGGGGACCTCAGAAAGAGCAATGCCTCTCAGAACATCTGAGACAGGCAGTGGGTAAAGTCTTGTACCGGGGAACCAGGCAAAATTAGAAAATTATGTGTGTCAGTGATTCCTAATAGTACACAACTTATGGTGAAACTGCCCAGGAAAAGCACTGAAAGTTTCTGTGTCTGAGTGAATTTGGAAGGAACATATAGAAAGGTGCTCAGTATTTCAAAGCAGAATGGTTCTCCATAAAGACAAATGATCAGGCTGTGTCTCATAACAGTCAACATCACTGGCAACAGGAGTTTCTTATGCTGCAAGATAAATGAAGCATCATGCTCTTATCATCTTAAATGTCTTGTGCCTCATAAGGAGTTTTGGCTTAAAGTTCTCATTTGTGGTTTTGTAACACTAGCTGACTTGGGAAACCTATAAACTCAGCTTTTGTTTGGAATTTGTAAATTATTTGTCATAACTGATTTTTTTGTATCATAAACCTTTAAAGTTAGTTTTATTTTGGGGTACTAATAGCTGGTATTTGACTACTGAATTCATTAATAAATACTGTATTTAAAACAAATGTCATGTATTTTCTTACATGATACAAAGCATCCATGTTTTAGGAGAAGCACATGGTACAATACACTTAATACAGACAACTCTGGTTGTGCCCACAGCTCCTTATGGGCCTATGGAAGCGCTTCCTAAGGAAGGTGAGGCTCAGCAACAGCTTTCAGTCCTAGCCCCTCTGGTGTGCGAGCAGGAGCTGCACGTTTACAGTTCGGGAGCTGGGCTACAGACAGAGCCCAAGAAAGTGTTGGGCAAACGTCTGCTGCCCAGGGAAGCGCAGCGGTGCAGAGCCCCAAGGTTTGTGGACTGAAACGGTGACTAGGAGTAGTCAGCATGGATTTCTGAAGGGGAAATGATGCTTAACCAACTTGATGGCATCCTACAATGAGATAACTGGCTCTGTGGATGAGGTGAGAGCAGTGGATATGGTTTGTGTCAACTTCAGTAGGGCTTTTAACACCATCTCCCATAACATCCTCATGGACAAGCTGACAAAACATCGTTTAGGTAAGTGGACAGTGAGATGAGTTGAAAAGTGGCTGAACAGCTAGGCTCAGAGGCTTGTGATCACAGTCACTAAGTCCAGCTGGAGGCCAGTCACTAGCTATGTGTCAATAGGGGACAGTACTGGAACCATTACTGTTTAATGCCTTCTTTAATGATGCAAATGGTGGTGTAGAGTGGACCCTCAGCAGTTTTGCAGATGATACAACACTGGAAGGAGCAGCTGTACTCCAGAGGGTTTTGCTGTCATTCAGAGGGACCTGGATGGGATGGAGAAATGGGCTGACAGGAATTGCATGAAGTTCCACAAAGGGAAACGCAAAGTCCTGCCCTAGGGGAGGAATAAACCTGGGAACCAATACATACTGGGGTCAGTGGGCTGGAAAGCAGCTCCACAAAGAAGGATCTGAGGATCACATGCTGGACAAGTTAACCACTTGCCAGCAACTCACCTGCACAGTGGCATCCTGGGCTGTACTAGGAAAATCATCACCAGCAGGTGAATGGAAGTGATCCTTCCCCTCTGGTCAGTACTGCCAGAGATGCACCCAAAGTGCTGGGGCCAGGTCTGGGCTCCCCAGTACACAAGAGGCATGGACATACTGCAGTACCTCCAGCAAGGTGTCACAAAGATCAAGGGAGTGGAGCATTTGTCATATCATGAGAGGCTGAGAGAGCTGGCACTGTTAAGCCTGGAGAAGAGATCTTACTGATTTCTATAAATACCTGATGGGAGAGAAAGAAGATGGAGCCCAGCTCTTCTCAGAGGTGCTCAGTGACAGGAAAAGAGGCAAAGGGCACAAATGGAAACACATTAAATTCCATCACAACACTCAGGAAAGCTGGGGAGTTCTTTTACAATGAGTTGCCAGAACACTTTAACAGCTTGCCCAGAGAGGTTTTGAGAGTTTCTGTCCTTGGACATCATCAAAATCCAACTGAACATGGTCCTGGGCAACCTCCTCTACCTGACCCTGCTCTGAGCTGGGGCAGGGACTAGATGGTCACTTCAAATCTTAAGGATTCTCATGGTTCAGGTGAGTACTGCTGTCTCCCAGATTGTCTCTGAACACAATGTACAGCTCATCCTGCTACTAGCTCTCTTACAGAAGGGCACTTCTCCCAAGGGAAAATATAATAACCATTGAGCTGGGCTGGCAGGTGAATTTGCTGGTATTTTGACTTAACTCAAACCACTTGATGCCAGAAGCCTGTGTAGTAAACAGCCACAGCCACGCTTCCCATTGGGACTATGCCAAACATTTTGTTGCTTCTAGTCACACTGGCACTACTCTTCTACCGTTTTCAGTAATTCTGTCTCAGTTACTGTGGTTTTGTAAACTATTCTTGTCAGAATCACCAATTCATACGGCTCCAAAATTGCCCTTATTTCCTCCTACTGTAGGGGGAAATAAGTAGTGTAATATTTATCTTGGATCATGAGAGTAGTTACTACAATACATTGTCAGTAAACAGATGAGATTATAGACAGCTTTGATTTTGAACATTATCAAATAATTCTTAAACAACGCTCCCTTCCCACCTTTCCTTTTACTGTCTTCCCCTCCTTCAAATCCACTGCTGTGCTATTAGCACGTTTTTATCACACCTCTCTCTTTCCAGCTGAATCCAGTAATTCACAGAACGTTAGGGATTGGAAGGGACCTCAAAAGATCACCCAGTCCAATCCCCCTGCCGGAGCAGGAACACCTAGATGAGGTTACACAGGAAGGCGTCCAGGCGGGTTTTGAATGTCTCCAGAGAAGGAGACTCCACAACCTCTCTGGGCAGCCTGGTCCAGTGCTCTGTCACCCTCACTGAGAAGAAGTTTCTTCTCAAATTTAAGTGGAACCTCCTGTGTTTCAGTTTGTGTCCTTTACACCTTGTCTTATCATTGTTTGTCACCGAGAAGAGCCTGGCTCCATCCTCGTGACACTCAACCTTTATATATTTCTAAACATGAATGAGGTCTCCCCTCAGTCTCCTCTTCTGCAAACTAAAGAGACCCAGCTCCCTCAGCCTTTCCACACAAGGGAGATGCTCCACTCCCTTAATCATCTTTGTGGCCCTACGCTGGACTCTCTCCAGCAGTTCCCTGTCCTTCTTGAACTGAGGGGAATTCATTCTCTTCTAATCCTCTCGGTCACCTGCTGCCTCTTTCTCTGTTCCTGGGATGCACCCAACCCCCGTCTTGGCCAGCCCTCTGCTAATGTACCTTGAAACTGCTGTCTGTCTCACTGGTCTCTCTGAATTCCTTTCTTCTTTTGCTCCAGTGTGCTGAGAGTATACCTTTGTATTGCTACAGAAAAATCTGAGGATTTGGGAAACAGAATTACTGTCCAAGGAAATATTAGTGCAACTACAGCTGAACATGGGAATATTGCAGTTTCTGGACAATAGCCACAGAAGGGTCTGGGTCTCTGCCATAGTACCTAGACACTGTGATAAGACAAATAATATTAATAATAGTTTTCCCTCTGCTAGATGTATGGTTTGTTTTAGAAGCCTTGCATCTTTGCGTAAATTCATGTTGCTTTTTTCAAAGCATTAATCTCCCGCGTTAATAAGTAAAAGACCACAGGAAATGCAGCACACTTTATGAGATTATGGCTAAAGTCCTTCCCCAAACACACCAGAAATAAGATACACAATTTACTGGTGTAAAATACTAGTTGATACATCTATTAGTATCATCAGCCACCATAAAAAAGGGATGGTGAGTGGATGTGGGGCTAGGCTAGTTTGGGAAATCTGTTGTTTGACAGCTATTAAAAACCAAGCACAAACACCCATTTTCTCCATTTCAGTACAGAGGCACAACTATTATTTCTGAAGCCCAGGACAAAGTCAATACAGAGATTTTAAAGTATACCCTTTGTTCACAAAGGCTGCGTTCATGAAAGCAGACTGCCATCTACTGCAGCTAGTGCTCTAGTGACTTCCTGATAAAAGCACAAGTGTACTTCTTCACAGTCCTGATTTGTTCCTCATGAGTTCCACCACATCTTGAAAGACACCTGGCTTCAGTACATCTTACCTTTCAAAATGCAAGCACCAGTCCCAGAAGCCTGGCAAATGGGACACTTGGTACTATAACTAGCTAGTTCTCCATGTGATCAAAAATCATTTCATTGTCAGAGAATGTGTAAGAGATTTCAGAAGTTCTTGGACTGCCTTTCAGAACGTTCTTTGAGGCAGACCAGTAATTTGAACTGAGTGTCATGATCTAGAGTCTCTATGCTTGACCATGTGTGATCCGCTAGTCAGAAGCTTACTGTCCTGCACCTAGAGGAGTTTCATCTATAAGCAAAATGAAAGATCAGATAGCTAAGGTTTCTGTAAAGATGAATATTCTTACATTCAAAAGTAGATGTCCAAACTGTGTAAGAATGCCATGGTCATCTCAAAAACAATCAATATAAAAAGAACTAAAGCTTTAAAATCTCTTTTGGCTTATGGGAAAACTTAATGGTAAGGTAGAGAGAGAGAAGATTACTACCTCATTTGTTTGGAGTCAATTAAGTAGATAATGCAATTGTATTAAAGGCAGTTTTATTAGGACACTTGAAAGTGCAGTGTGTGACAACAATCACATATTAAGAGAGTGTCCTGGTTTGAGCTAAATAG